CCTTCCTTCCTCCCTCCCTTCCTCCCTTCTTTCCCTACTTCCTTCCCTCCCCTGCATTCCTTTCTTCCCTCCTTCCTTCTTTCCTTTCTCCTTTTCTTCTCTCCTTTGCTTCTCTTCTTCCTTTTCCCCTTCCCTCCTTTTCTTCCCTCTTTCCCTCCTTCCTTCTTCCCTTTCCTTTCTTCCCTCCCCCACTTTCCTTCCTTCCCTCCTTCCTTCTTTCCTTTCTCCTTTTCTTCCCTCCTTTCCTTCCCTCCTTCTTTTTCTCATTTCCTCCTTCTCTTCCTCCTTTACTTCCCTTCTTCCTTTTCTCCTTCCTTCCTTTCCTTCCCTTCTTCCTTCTCCCCTTTCCTTTCTTCCCTCCCCCCTTTCCTTCCCCTCAGCTGCTCTTTGGGGTTTCTGAGGAACCACCAAGCCCTTCCCACCATCCTCTTCCTCCCCTTCCTCTGCCTTTGGGGACGGTGGGACCTGGCAGGGGACACTCTTGTTTTCCTGGGAACACCTTTGCATGAACAGCTCCTCTTGTTTTTATGGAAAAACCATAAAAACTGCACCAGCAGTTTCTTTTTAACCAGTAATAGGATCAGTAAAACAGAAACTAAATACAGACAAAGCTTCCTGTCCCTTGGAAAGGTTCTAAGATACCTTTTTTTTGAAAAAAACCTAGATTATCCTTCTGAACAGGAACTCTGTGGTGAGCTTAGAATTGATGAGTTTGTTGTGCCCAAACCTCTGGATTCCATTTCTGATGCTGTTTTTGCACATTGGCAATTCATTGTTCACTGTACCTTCCTTGGCCCCAGTGCAGTGACTTAGTCCTGGAAGGAACATTTTACCTGATTATTTGTGGGTTTTACCTGCACAAACCACATTGATTGATGAAGCAGAGGCACTCCCCTGCCACAGCAACGCGGGGGGGTTGTTGTCCCTTGGGAAAGGGACCTAAAAGGGGCTTTTCCAAGGGTTTCTTTGGAAAGCCAGCTGTTGGTTTTCCCTCCGGGCAAGGCGGTTCCAGCCTCTCCTGCTCGCTGGGTTTGGAGCCCAGGCAGAGTTTTGGGATAAGCCAGCCCCGGTGCAAACCCCACAGAGCTCCATCCCAACCCTGATCCCAACCCCATGAGGCTGCTGGGATGGTTCCTGCTCTTCCAGGAGGTGCTGTGATGGGATCAGAGGGTGGGGTTGGCTCCACGAGCTCACCCAGGGCATTGCTGCTGCTCAGGGACAGACAGGGACAGACAGCCTGACCCTCACTTCCCGCTCTCCATCCTGTGCCTCAGTGCATCCCACAGGGACTGAAGGTTTTACAAGCCAGACGTGGCTCCTGCTCCAAACAAAACCTCCCAGGGAACACGTGGCAGCTGCTGGGAGAGACTCCAAGCCAAGAGCTCCGAGGAGAGGGCGAGGTCCCCCTGGCTCTTGCTCCCCAGCTCAGAACCTCCTCCAGCTCCATATCCAGGCTGGGTTTCTGTCACCTTTCCCTCCCTGGATTTTTCCCTTGTTTGCTTTCCCAAAGTGTGGCCTTTCTGGCTCGTTTTGGGCTCTCCCAGCTGCTCTCCCTGCTCAGCTGTTGGCTGAGGGAGGGCTTTGCATCCAACTCCCCTCCCTGCCCATCCAGCCCCCTGGAACCTGCAGCTTTTCCTCCTCTCTGTCCTTCTCATCAGGGTGGGAAGCAGCACTGGGAAGGCTCCACTGGCCCCCCTGAGCACCAGTTTGCAGGTTGTGGGTGCCAGTGGGATGGGGCAGCTCCTTCCCCTCCCTTTCCTTCCTTCCTTCCTTCCCCCCTTTTCCTAATCCTCCTTTTCCTTTTCCCCTTCTCCTTGCCCCTGTTTCCTTCCCCCTCCTTTCTTCCTCTTCCTTTCTCCCCCATTTTCCTTTCTTCCTTCCTTCCTCCCTTCCTCCCCACTCCCTTCTTTCCTTACCTCCTTCCCTCCCCTGCTTTCCTTCCTTCCTCCCTCCCTCCTTTCCTTCCCTTCCTTCCTTCCTCCCTCCCTTCCTCCCTTCTTTCCTTACCTCCTTCCCTCCCCCACTTTCCTTCCTTCCCTCCTTCCTTCTTTCCTTGCTCCTTTTCTTCCCTCCTTTCCTTCCCTCCTTCCCTCCCTCCTTCCCTCACCTCCTTCCCTCCTTTCTTCTTTCCTTTCTCCTTTTCTTCCCTCCTTTCCTTCCCTCCTTCTTTTTCTCATTCCCTCCTTCTCTTCCTCCTTTGCTTCCCTTCTTCCTTTTCTCCTTCCTTCCTTTCCTTCCCTCCTTCCTTCTCCCCTTTCCTTCCTTCCTTCCCCCCTTTCCTTCCCCTCAGCTGCTCTTTGGGATCGCTGAGGAACCACCAAGCCCTTCCCACCATCCTCTTCCTCCCCTTCCTCTCCCTTTGGGGATGGTGGGACCTGGCAGGAGCTCTGCAGGCAGATGTTACTCCCAGAGATATCCAACTGCCTGCCTCAGATGTTATTCCCAGAGATATCAGCATCCCACAGGATCAGCATCTGTGTGGGAGTTCTGCCAGGCAGGGCAGGGGCACGTTTGTTTGTGGGAAGGAATCATGGAATGGTTTGGGCTGGAAGGGATCTTAAAGCTGATCTTATTGCCACGGGCAGGGACACCTCCCACCAGCCCAGGTTGCTCCAGCCTGGCCTTGGACACTCCCA